AAACCCGTACATCTTAAACCTGTCTTCTATATCCAAACCTGTACAACACTGAGCCGTTAAACCCACTACTACATCAAAACGACTGTCTCTGCAAGCCCACATGGTTCCGTGACCGGCATTCCTGGAAACGTTACCCAACTAAGCTCCAGAGGCAACAAAACAACAGTCCTTTCCAATGCGGTTCAAGAAATCCCGCAATGCCACAATACGTTTGTCTTGTGGTGGGCAGTTCAGTGTTGTGATGTACATGAAAGTATATAGATATACCCACAAGACATAATCATACATACGATGGAATAAAATCCAATCCGATCCAATGCAATGAAATACAGTACAATACAAACAGTACAGTACAGTACAGTACATCACAGTACAGTACACCACCCTACAATACGATGCATATATATATATATATTTATTTATTTATTTATATAGATATGTTATATATACATATATTATATGTAACAGAAACGGAAAAAAGACCGGGGTCCTCTGCCTCGATGATCCCGGATCCCAAAGCCCTAAAACCCTAACCCCCCTAAACCCTTCAACCCTAACCGCTAAACCCCTAAACCCTAAACCCCCAACCCCCAAACTCCTAAACCCGGATCCCCAGCTCCCCGCCTTGAAATGCAATGATTTCCCAAACAACGGCACCTGCCCTTGAGCAGAAACTTCGCAGAACTTTCTCGTCCCAGCTCAGCACACACACCGGTGCAGCCCAACGAAGTTTAGGGCTCCATAGGGCTTTAGGGCTTTAGGGGTTTAGGGTTTAGGGTTTAGGGGTTTAGGGTTTTAGGGTTTAGGGGTTTAGGGTTTAGGGTTTAGGGGTTTAGGGGTTTAGGGCTTTAGGGGTTAGGGGTTTAGGGGTTTAGGGTTTAGGGTTTAGGGCTCTAGGGGTTTAGGGGTTGAGGGTTTAGGGGTTTAGGGCTTTAGGGGTTTAGGGTTTAGGGTTTAGGGGTTTAGGGTTAGGGTTAGGGTTTAGGGGTTTAGGGTTTAGGGTTTAGGGGGGTTTAGGGGTTTAGGGTTTAGGGTTTAGGGGTTTAGGGTTTAGGGGGGGGGTAGGGGTTTAGGGTTTTTGGGGTTTAGGGTTTTTAGGGTTTAGGGTTTAGGGGTTTAGGGTTTAGGGTTTAGGGTTTAGGGGTTAGGGTTTAGGGGTTTAGGGTTTAGGGGGTTTAGGGTTTTAGGGGTTTAGGGTTTAGGTTAGGGTTTAGGGTTTAGGGTTAGGGTTTAGGGTTTAGGTTTAGGGGTTTGGGGTTTAGGGTTTAGGGGTTTAGGGGTTTAGGGTTTAGGGTTTAGGGGTTTAGGGGTTTAGGGTTTAGGGACGCGCGGCCCAATAAGTGTAAACACAGCATACGAAGCAGCCTTGACCACCCAGAAAGGCTCATGTTCCAAGTCAGGCTATTTGTCCTAAAGCATATAATTGGCCTCACACCCCAGGCGCTAACTCTCAACCCGAAGACCTACCGACGTTCTCTAGGCACATCATCGTGGACCCTTCCGACGGTCCGAGTACATCTGGACGCCTTCTGGCTCTGGATCACTTGAGGAACCTAAGAAGGCTACCTTGACCAGGTCCCTAATTATGATTTCTTTATATACTTCCTTGACAAGGCAGGGTTGTGGTGGTGCAAGTAGGGCTTAGAGACTGAGGTGTATGACATGGGGTTTAGGGTGTGGTTCAGGTTTGGGGGTTTTCAGGTTCCGTCATTGTCGGTTTAGGGGTTATAAGATGATTTAGGATATAATGGCAAAGGTACCATGTAAGGATGGAATGCAAGTGACACATAATTAGAACAGGGTTTTGGAGTGGATTCTACTCTACTTGTAATAACCCTAGAGAAAAAAGGAAACAACGTAGTATCGGTAATTATTTAGGCCCCTATTTTGCTATTTGTTGGCCTGATGCCTATGCTGAGCTAAGCGTCGCCAAAACCAACTCTTGCCCAACAAGTCCCATCTTCGAAGTCAACTAGGGTAGGAGCCTGCTTAACAAAAACTGGTCACATCTACTCCAAAAAAATCGGATTCGTAATTGAAGAACCCTAATAGAGACCCGAGCTTTCTTAATCAGGTTGTTATGTAAACCCCCTAAACCCCTGTAAACCCTGATAGTAACCTAATAGAACTCTCAAGAGGAACAGTCAGAATACGCAAGCCGCCCAAACTTGGATGCGTGTTTAAGGTTTCGGGCTACGTGGACCAAGCCAAGGCCACGCACAGGAACCCAACATGCGTTTATTAATGCAGCCGCAGGACCGAAACAACGGGAAACGTCAAGTCTACACACCGCAGGTTCAATCGTCATAAATTCAGACCCACCCACCCCTCGACATACCTCTGAATCCGCTACTCCGAGACCCCCGAATGGCCCCGAATTGCAGCACCAAGCTCGAAAGACCAAACTGACACCACCCTGACCCTAAGGCAAAAACCGCCCAAAGCCCTTGAAGGCCAATACTCGCCAAAAAAACCGCAGCGCCTCTGCGATCAGAGGCGCCATGTCGTCGGCCCACATCGTTCTCAAAGCCGTCGACAAAATACTCTATAACCCTAAACCTTATACATCCTAAAACCCTAAATTCATCGCAGCCCCATCACACGGCGTTGACGACGCGGTCGGATGCTGGGGGCTTCTAAGAAACAAGGTTTCGGCTACTGCAGTGAGGGAGGGTCGAAGTATGATATTGGTGAACACTACACCCTACTGGTAAATCCTCAGCCCTCAACCCTATCATCCGTGCTGAACTGCCCGACATCCTCAGGCCCACAGCAAGCACCGCAACCGGAGCCGAACTCATGCTCTTAACGACTATGGGCCCCTATGTTTCACGCACTCCGACTCAACCAGCTCTGGCTGTTGGCTCGAAACGGACCTCTTCTCAAAAGCCCGCCTAAAGCACGACAGGACTCACCGGCACTGGCTCAACCCCAAGCCAAGGAAGCTTCGAATCCCCTTCAATAGTAGGTGCTTTCATAAACTGACCGCCTTAACCGAGACTCCAGAAATCGAAAGAGCTCAGTAGACGCCCTGATTCCCGAAACACTGAACCACAAATCCTGGATCCTAAACCCTAAAACCCTACAACTACCCTAAAACCTTAAGGACTACAACCCTGAAACCTTGAACCCTCAACTCCCTAAGCCCTAAAACCCTAACACCCAAAGCACGTAAACCTAAACCCTTAGATGATTACCTAACCATGAATCCGAACCGTATTTGGACACCTTCGGTGGGCGGCTGGGTTTACCGATGCTTCGGCTTCCAGGCGCGCTCCTCCCAGTGAAGAAAACCGCCCATCCCAAGAAGACTGGTGAACAGAGGGGCCTTACCCCAGGTTCAGGGTTTACTGTAGGTGTCTAGGGTGATAGGGTTTTAGGGTTTAGGGGTTACCTGGACCCCAAAAATGTGCAGAATAATGGCCTTTTGTAGGTGTTGGATTTTTTTGGGCGGGGCCTAGATAATCTTACACGTTAGAAGCGCGTCCACGGCCTACCAGGGCTCTTTATAAGGCTTCGACGATATAGGAGAAGAGGGTTGGGGCGGGTTGCGGGCATTATGGGATAGTTATGTAGGGGCCAAGCAGGCCTACTGCTGCTGCTGCTACTACTACTACTACTACTACTACCACTACTACTACTACTACTACTACTACTACTACTACTACTACTACTACTACTACTACTACTACTACTACTACTACTACTACTACTACTACTACTACTACTACTACTACTACTACTACTACTACTACTACTACTACTACTACTACTACTACTACTACTACTACTACTACTACTACTACTACTACTACTACTACTACTACTACTACTACTACTACTACTACTACTACTACTACTACTACTACTACTACTACTACTACTACTACTACTACTACTACTACTACTACTACTACTACAGGGTTTTGGAGTTCGGGTCGTAACCTGACATCAAAGAACCCGAAGTAGCCAGAGGGGGGGGGGGCAGACGCAAACTATGAACGTTTGCAGCAATGCTTGTAGTGGAAATGGATAGCCCTCGACGAGTATCCCTTGTAGTAATCCGGAAACCTCCACCACTCCGGTTGGCAGTTGTCTAGTTAGACCTGCCTCAAGCATGCTCGCGGCGTATCGGTGGCACCAAGAAGTGCGGATGGGCGTGTTCCGCAATCTCTAAGCCGTCTACCAAAAGCCCTGACGCCTCGAGGTAACTGGGAACCGATGGACCTGTGACTTCCTAAGAAGCCCCCATCGGGCCATACCCTGGCACTCTTGCACCTGATCCTTGCGATCTTCTCTACCTCCCCAAGGAGGAATTGGAGTGACGCAACAAAATGAAGGGAAAGCTGGTGCCATGTTCCTTCACCACGGTGCCGGGCCTCCACCTCCAGGTACAGGACCTCGGGCTGGTCCCTCCTTCTGGGGGGGGGGGCGAGGTGGGAGGGCAGGCCTGGCTGGCACGAGTAAGAGAGCTGGTTGAGTGCCAGACTATCAGCTTTAGGGATTGGATTCCTGGAGGCCGACGTATGATATAGGCTCATCAAGTCCTACAGTAAACGCTATAATTAAACCCATGATGAAAAACCCTCATAAGAAGCATTTTAAGGCAGCTGGACCGTCAATAACATGATGATTGTGTCTAGGGTTCAGGGTCTGACGGTAAAGGGGTTCAGTGGTTCAGGTGGATTTAGGGTCCAGGGTTTCACTATAGAGTCCTACAAGGGCTCCTACAGATGTTTCGGGTTCTGCTTCGGGCTGCAGGGTCTGCACGCAATAGCAAGAACCGAACCTTCGCGTGAATCTATCCAGGTTTGGGGATTTCGGGGTTTTGTCGGCTGTAGGTCCCAAAGGCTCCAAACTCTCGAACATGACACTCAGACACTCTGTGTGTTAAAGTTGCAGCAACCTTCGAGATTGCAGGAGACTTACCCTTGAAACCTGTAAGGTTGAGGGTACGAGACCTACACAGCCGAGCCCGTCTGCAAGTCCTGGACAGCAGCTCACGCCGCCCGTGTGGGCGAGAGAGACTGCAAATCCAGCCTGAGTGACACGCTCAGGTTCAGGCATCAAGATACTCAAACTCAGAGGTGTCACGAGTTTTATGAGGTCTCGGGATGTAGGGTTTTGGGTTAGGGGTTCAGGGTTGGGAGCGTGGGGGAATTTGGTGTTTGAGGGTTGGGGGTCTATGCTTCCAGATTTCGCCTTTGTGGCTTGGAGATATCTACGGAGGGGTGCGGAGTCCAGATCTAGATCTAGCAGGATGTTGGCATCAGGGTCTGAAGATGAATGGTCAATTGGATCCACGATTTAGGGGTCATTATCGGGTAAACATATTTTTATCATGCGAACATATAATGCTGTACGACATGGTTCGAGAGTGTTTAGGGTTCATTCCATCCTGTGGACACCTTAACCTTACAGGGCTTACGCCTTGTAATGGAAACCCTCATCCCTTAACCCTTTGAAACCCTATACCCTTGGAAACCCTAAACCCTGAACCCTTTGAAACCCTAAAACCAAGACGGTTTGAAACCCTAAACCGTCTGAAACCCTTTGAAACCCCAAGCCCTGTGAAACCCTATATGCGGTTTAGCGTTTACCTATAGTCTCCCATAGTAGTTCCTTTTTGTGGTTAACCAACATCTCTATTATAGGATCCTAGCCATAAAACTGGCTAACCACAAAAAGGAACTACAATGGAGAATATAGGTAGGGTTTTATACCGAGCAAAATCTTCCCGCCCTGGGCGCCTCGGTACCGAGGCCGGACGGGCGAAGGGCCGTTGCGGCGAGGCAGTGGCCACCTTTACTTAGAGGCCCCGCGGGGGCTTAGTAAGTAGGTCATAAGTAGAGATATAAGTACCCTAAATGGAGTTGTCCCAATTATAACTCTACTTATAACCTACTTACTAAGTCCCCCGGGCCTCTAAGTACAGGAGCCCTTAAAGGAGCCACGCTTGAATGGAGGTTTGGGACTGGTATTATGGGGTTTTAAGAGGCTGTGTGAGGCTTGCGGTAGGGCTTAAATTAGAGACTTTGGGAGAATGGTGTTTAAGGTTTTTTGGGGCTTATAAGGTTTACGTAGGGCTTAGGGTTTTGGGGCATTGGGTTTTTGAAGGGGTTAAATGTAGGTACAAGCGCTGCGAAGGTTGTGGGAAAACCTGGCTCCCGCGTATCCTGTGGTCCGGACTGAACTGTCTCCCACAGGGTCTAAAATACCTAGTAGCATGCAAGGTCTCTATACTAGGAAATACTATTATGATTTGGGGAAGTATCCCCCATAGCAATACCTTGCACCCTTTGGGTCTGTCTGTCTGTGTTGCTACGGCTCTGGCTCAGGATTGAGGGTCTTGGGCTTATGGTGTAGGGTCTCGCTGGGGCTGCTGCTTTTGGTGTGTTGTCCACACCACTATCCGTTCACAAGGGCACGACAGCTTGTAAATTATGGTGCTACCATGTCTCTAGGCTCCCTAGCGTCCCCTGAAAAATAAGGTACCCTCTTCCTGGTATTCAGTTGGAAACCCTGAAGTAAAAAGGCCAAAAGGGGGAACCTAGGCTATCATGTGGCTGTTGCAGATAGACTTTGAAGCCTGGTGTAGGACCCCAAAAATCGAGTCTGGAAGCCGGAATCCGAATTAACATAGGCGCCGTGTATACTTATTGAAAAAAGGAATCGGGTTCTGGTGTAGAGTATGCTATAATGAAGCCTAAGGAATAGTGGAACCTTCTGTATAACCACCCTCGTTACTCTGCAACATGAACACGACTGCTTGAACTCCGCTATCCACGTTCTGGACCACCACCATGGACGCCGTGTGCCCCAAAAATCTGACTTCTAGACGAAGTCCGGAAAACCAACATGAAATTATCCGTCCAATCCCCATGTAAAGAGAGGCCCGTTAGTTTCACGAACAAGTCCTGAATACGAAATGTTGGTTCAAAATCCGTCCAATCCCCATGTAAAGAGTCTCAACAAACGCCCGTCAGTTTGAAAAGACCCTGTTCTCATCCCTGTAGCGCTCCATAAACCCTGCAGCAAAAACAAGCACAGACATGAAAAGCCCTGTGCGGTCCCCCGTGGCGGTTGACAAGCTTATGTCTTAAGAGCCCCAAGAATAAACCTACGCCCTACACTACACCCCAAACCCTACATAAACCCTAACCCACAAACAGACCCAAAATACAAATCCTAAATGCCAACTTACAAATCCTAAACCCTAATTCACAAACCCTAAACTCACTAAGTCACAAAGCCTATAAGCCCTATACCCAATGTCACAACTCTAAAACCTGGAACCCCCAAAATCATAAAACCTATAGGACCCTAAACCCTAAACTCCCCAAGTCACCAAGCCGATACACCCTATGCACCTCACTACGCCTATAAACCCCGTACTTGGAGGTTCATGGCTAGTAGTAAGTGGGGTTGTAAGTCCCCTAATATGGATTATCAGTATAGTTACCCTACTTATAACCCTACTTATAACTACCCATGAGCCTCCAAGTACCCCCCCCCTCATCGCATCAGGCTTTCCCTGCCGGGGCCGCGTGCCGGGATCTTCTCAGTTGGAGCCCAGGCTGCTGCCAAGTCCTCGGTGGCATCGTCCGGCTTACGGCTTTCGGGTTTAGGGGTTTAGCGTTTAGGGCTTAAGGCTTTTAGCGTTTAAGGCTTTTAGGGTTTAGGGCTTAAGGTTTTTAGGGTTTAGGGTTAGGGTTTGATGCTTTTGGAGGTTGTCTTGCTTTCTTGGGGTTTCTGATTTGGGGTTGGGGGTTTTACGGCCGAGGGTTGGGGGTGTGGAGATTCAGGGTTTCAGGTGTGGCATTTGTGGTTTGAGGGTTGTGATTTCGGGTTGAGGGTTTGTGTGGCCTTGATGGCCTCAGGGTTTAGGGTTCAGGGTTGAGGGTAAAGGGCCTACAGATTTCCCAAAATGGAAGGGCTCCAAGGGTGGGATGCAGGTAGGTGGGATAGTCCCCAAGAAACGTATAAGGGAAACAAACCCCTACCCCGGACGAAAAGGGCCCATGCTATGGTTCATTATACACTTTCGAAAGGTTCTTTCGAAGTATCCATTTTACAGGGGCACCTGTAAATCATGTGTATGGGAGGTTTATTAGAGTTGTAGTGGTTGGCACCACGGGGCTCAATGTCCCCACGTCTTAACGTAGTCTCTGTAAAAAAGTAAATGCTCGTGACTTGTGGGTCAAAGTTTTCATTAACCGTGAGGGCTTCAAGGGGTCAGCCGTTTAGGGGTTTAGGTTCATGGTTACGATGTGAAGAGATCTAGTTGTTTAGGGTGTTCCCGTGCTGAGGGACCCCATGGCAACCCTAGAGCCTTCCGGTTCTGCGAACACTTCGCTGATTCGGGGGGCTGGCGGCTCTTTAGGGCGTGGAAAAGGTCGTAATTAGGGCGGTTCGTGGCGTCTTTTGGTTCTTGACTTGTGTTGCGATTCGGATTCCCCCCAATCCGGTACGCTAACTCGCAAACTGGGCTGGAACCAGTATAGACAGATGAAGTGAAGATGATGAGTGACTAAAACCCCTGAAACCTAAACCCGAACTCCCTAAAGACGAACTCCCTAAACCCTAAACCCCTAAACCCTAAACTCCTGAACCCTAAGCCCTAGTCCCTACTTCCTGAAGTCCCGCTTTTTGAGCGCCTCTGGCGGCCAAATTCTTCAGAATTCTCCTTCGAGACCTACCAAGATTTCTCCCGGGGAGCCTGCGACATTCCTAGAGAGGCCACAGCCACACAGACTGCTTGAAGGATCCAAAACTAAAGACAACACGATGACACCGTTTGATGGCTATGAGAAGTCCTAAACCCGATAAGATAAGCGGGTTTAGGGTTTAGGGTTTGTTCGTGATGGGGTAAGAAGTCCTAAATAAGGGCAAGGACCCCCTGCCCACAATGGCCCGTAGCAGACAAGTAGGTGGTAGGGATTGGGATCCAGAGAACGAAAAGGATTGAGTCAGTGAGGGTTTCGGGGACAGGCTTTAGAGGTTCAGAGTTAGGGTGTAGGGCTAAGAGACAAGAATCTTAGAAGCAAATCTGCATCTTCGTGGCTCTCAGTGCAGCGACGACTCTGTTTGACAAAAACAAATCCGTAGTAAACCCTCAGCGATAAACTCAAAGCCTTAAAACCACAGGAAGCGCCGCTGTACTGTGAATAAGCCTGTGCACCTCTGCGCGACGACCATGCTTTCAACTGCGTGCGAAGGGCCTATCTGCATACATGTATGTGTGTATGCATGCACGTATGTATGTATGTGCATGAGCCGATACAAGTGTAGGTTTGTTCATGCATACATGTGCGCATGTCTGCATTTGGCAGAGCGGTTCGAGTTGTGGTTTAGTGTATTGGATCACGTGTTTCTTTCGTGCCATCTGGAACGTTGAGATAAAAAACCACATAGACCCGAATCTATGTTTCAATAATAGCTTGTGAAAACCTACTAGATACAAGCCTATGAAGTCCTGCAACATCTTGAAAACCCAACGGCTTTGTCATTGTACGCATTCTTACTGGGTGTTGCTAGACAGACTATGTACCTATGGAAGAAAGAGCTCGAGAGATCACGATTGACCTGAACCAGCGGAACTTCCTTGTCCTTTATCTATGTTGCTTAGAAGCACGCACTCCAGTTCGAAAAGAACAGGTTTTGGAAGATTCTGGGTAGAATTGGAGGTCTAGGATTCAGGATTCGGCATGTGCACACATCTGCAGGTCGTCGAGACTTCGACGTAAACAACCTCTGTCACCTCCCTCAGATTCCAGTTCCAGCTTAAACATCAAGGCCTAAGGCAGTAAATACGTGAACAGTCCACGAACCCTACTTCCTACTTATCCTACTTGCCAGTTCATGGGTACTTCATGTGGGGTGTATAAAGCCCTAAGGGTCCAAGTACCTAATTATGATATACTCTCCAAAATAGTAATCTACATAACTACTATCCGAAAACCGAGTACCTAATTATCGGGTCCTTTGGACCCTTAGGGAAGTATAAACCAGCTTACGAGGCTGATAACCCTACTAAAAACTACCCATGAACCTCCCAGTACTACAGAACGACTGCATCTGTCGACAGCATCTCGCGCTTATGGAAGCCAGTGTCTGACGACGCAGGAGCATAGAGTTCTATTCCTGTAACTGTACCACCAACGCTCCAGCCAACAACACAAAACAAGACTCTAACAACCCTGCCAACCGCAGCATAAGTCGCGAATAAGGGGGCTGTATCCCCTAATTTGGGGCCCTATACTACTAAGGGTACTTGATAGGAACCCCCATTAAGGGATCTACTTTTTAAGATTCATGACTCCCCTACCCAAACCATGCCAAGGAACCCTTTGAGAGGTTGCAGGGCTCGCGGCCAGTGCAAAACCCGATGCGCAAAATAATCGCGGCACATGTGCAGCGACTAAACATACCCCAAGCAATGCCCAGAAGAGGTCTATAAGCATCCTCAGCGGCTAAGATGGCAATCACCACGGTGAAGCACAAAGAAAACAAGCATGCAATTTCTCTCGCGCCCGTTGAAGATCAATCAACACCAGGAGCTCGGCACCATAAACCCTAAACGCTAAACCCTAGTTAACAATAGCAGTCATGTCTAGCGAGCCTACTGACCTCGCAGCCATGACCCGAGGCCCTAAACACTGACCCCTGAACAGAAACTCTTAACCCTAAACCCTTCAAACCCTAAACACCTAATTAAGCAATTCGCGAGGGAGCTGGCAGCAGAGCCGGGAATGAGCTCCGTTTGGAGCCATTGCGGCACAATGAGGTGCTGTAAAGATGTGCCTTATTTAGCGGGCTTACACTTACAGGGTTTATGCGGGTCAGCATTTTGGGTTTAGGGCTCAGGGTTTACGGGCTTGCAGGATGTGCCTCATAATATTATAGGGTTCGCGGTTTAGGCTTTAGGGTCTTGGGGGATGTCCAGAGTTTAGGTTCAGGGTTGGTTAGACTTGGGTTTCCACTATACTATAGTAATGATAAGGACCCCCCCCCAAAGAATACAGGATAATATAGGTAACCATTTAGGCCCCTATATTAGGGCCCTGTCTCGGGGTTTAGGGTCTATTAGTGCATGATCTATGGTGGAATCGGCCACGGCGGCAAACCTGCTGATGGAAAATGTGGGCCGCCACCTGTTCCTGCTGGAGCTCCACGTAGATCTCCGTTAGAACCGTGCAAGGTTAGGATGTAGGGGCTGGGGTTGTAGGGCTGAGGATTGCGGCGTGCTCTGATAGAACTCCCATAGAAGATCCCAGCAAGCATATGGGTAGTTCTCCAACATCGGGTCCCTCCTGTATCCTTTTTAACGATGGTGTCGCACTATCTTTTGGGGACCTAGAAAGGGACCCTAAGTTAAAGAACATGTGGGCGTTTCCGAAAATAGCGGACCCGAATATAGCACCTTAAATAGTAGGATTCGTATTATATATACGGACCCAAAATAAGATACCCCTTCTTTTCGGAAACTCCCATAGATGCGGCATCCAACCGTAGCGCTCGGCGAACGCATTTCTACGAGGCAAGAAGCCCTGGGACAGGCTGCCTTGAGGGTGTCCGGGATTGCACAGGGTTCCTTCCAAGGGCCCACCCTAGACCATAAACCCTACCCTAAACCCTAAACCCTAAACCCTAAACCCTAAACCCTACCCTAAACCATATACCCTAAACCCTAAACCCTAGACCTCTAATCCCTAAACCCTTCCACAAAAAGCTTAACCTTAGAACCCCTAAACTGAGGCTCTTCAAGGGTCCCTGGAATCGGGAAGGGTTGGGGGGTGCTAGGCTGGGGTTTACGATTTGTGGGTTCTTGGGTAAGGATTTGGAAAATTTAGGCTGGCGCAAGCTTCAAGGCATGGAAGGATATTATAGATAACATAAAGAAGCTACAGCAAATACATCACAAGGCTGGTTTGGGATTAGACTGACGATCAGTAATAGACTGACGATGAGTCACGACTACACAAGCAGTGGTGGCTGTTGTTTCTGTTGGACCTGGAGATGTTGATTGTCGCAGAAACCACCAGCAAGCTTAACATCCGAAACCCATAACCTCAACTCAAACTCATAACCCCTACAGTACAACTTGAGTCATTACAGTGTTGTTCGGTATGTTTGTTCTAGTTGAATTATAGCAACAAGGAATACAAAGAACTAGATGCTCACAACTCTGCAGGCTTCTTTGCTGCTCGTCGTGTTACGGCTTTAAGGCTTTCAAATTGTCTAGTTTAACCCTATCCCTCCAAGGACCTCATAGTTAGGGCCCTAGACCCCTTAAGGACCCCATAATAAGGTCCCTGGAGGCATAGGGTAAGCCTTGCTGGGGACTCATATTAGTGGACTTGTAACCTTACTAAAAACTACCCATGAACCTCCAAGTAAGGTTTCAGAGTTTAAGGGGTTTTGGCTTTGAGGTCTAGGGATTTAGAGCTTTAAGGGTTGACCCCTAAACCCTCCGAAGATCAGAGGTGCTCCGTCCATGGGCCTTCTGGTGCCATTTAGCCCGAGCTCGAAAAGGATCAGACCAGGGTGTAAAATTTCGTGCTCGGTCCATCAACCCATATATATATATA